GCGGAAGTGGCTTTAGCTTCTTAGTGCTGTGCTTTAACCCACTACACCACCAGGAAGGGCTTATAGAGTATTTTTACTGCTCCTCAAATCCTCTGTGCACTGCCCGCTTTCAGACTTTTACTAGCATCTTCCCTCATTAGAATGTAGAATAGTGATGATAGCACCGCAGAGCTGTACAGAAAGGAGCAGTGTGACCACAGGGCATTTGTGAAGCTGGCCTCCTAGAAAAAAAAGAATAGGGTCAGAAAAGCTTTACCTACTGGGTCTTTATCCTTTCTTATTCTGTGCTTTGATTTGCTTGAAGCAGAGTGATCTTTTTAGTATTGATCATGGAGCATTAGGAGCATCTCCAGGGGCCCAATTAGGAAGGTTGTATACTTAAAACAGGCTGTGGATGGCAGAGAGTTCTGTAGAATGGAACTAAAGTACAATAACATTGAAGATGGGAATTCTGGATAAAATTAAATTGCCATTATAATAAGCAGAGAGAATATAATAATGTTTCTGTCTTGTTGAAACACTGTTTTCTTAATTTATTTAAAAAACATAGAGAATGCATACGGTATCTCTTGGTAAAAGTGGTTACTGGGAACACGCACCATTGTTTTTCATGTTTATTTTCAAAATATGGCATTTTTCTCATAAAACATTGTGGAATTGCCTCAGGCAATGGATATGCTGAATGAAACTTTGACCTTTGAGGATGGCAAGAAGTTTAAGAAATACAAACATATTAAGGAGCACGAAGATTATACAGACAAAGCATGTGACAAACCCTGTCACCCAGAAGCAGGTATACATAGCTTGACATCTGTAGATGAAGAGGGTCATTCGTGATTGTCTCCAACTGTTATCTCCTGATACTCTACTGTCACGGGTTCCGCTGCCTCCCCAGACCCAGCTCCTCTGCTTCTGCCTGTGCCCAAGCCATAAAGCCAGCACTGCCCGGAGCACCAGCCTCCACCCTGTCTCCTTGAGCAGTTTCACCAGCTCCCATGGCTTTAGCTTCTCTCAGCCAGCAGCTCCACACCCATCCATTTTCTCATTATTTTCTATAAAGCAATGTGGACAAGACCCAAAACATTTCAAACTCAGCACATGTACAATCCAATTTTCGAGTCCCTTTTCCCATGTTGATGCTTTATTTAGGCAACACATCACCAGGCTGACAGTTCCTGCCCAAAGTGCTTTCTGCTCTGGAATGTTGCTAGAGGCTTCTTCCCTCTTCACTCCCTCTGCCACTAATTTAGGCCTCTGCCTTCTCCTAGCAGTGTGGCGTGGTAGGAAATACATGAGTTTTGGAGACAGAGCTGGCTTGAATCCCACCTGGTGCTTCCACTTTCTGAGCTTGTGACCTTTCACAAGGGACTAAAATGCTCTAATTTCTCAGTTTCCTTTGAGGAACAAACCACAAAGGTTTATTATAAAAACTAAGGTGAAATTTGACATAGAAAATATCTGGCACATGTTAGGTGCTTAATAAATGCTATTCTCTTTATTTTTTTCTTTCCCTTCCACCCCTGTAGAGCAATCTATGTCAGTAGAATGGTGGTGACTTCTCTGGCTTTGAATGTACCAGCTGATGGACTATCTTGTATTTCCTAAGAAACTGTTTAGTGTAGCTAGTCACACTTAGGAAATTTTTTTACATTAATTTCCTACAGAATTGTTCATTCAGGAGGAGGCTGCTGCTGCTACAGAAAACAGAAGACAGTGGGAAGCCAGAGCTCCTCAGACTTTGCTGTGGATGATGGCGGAGTCTGAAGTCACTTCCACCTGCCCCACCACTCCCGAGGGTGAGTCAGCTTCAGCACAGTCCTCAGCAAGGCCAGCCAGTGGCAGCTGTGTGGCATCATTTTCAGGACTGCCTCTAGAGACTGGCTGTCAAATTCCTTTCAAAGACATTGTTTTTGTTTCTCTCCTACGCAGAGAAGGCCCACTAGTTATCCCAGACAACTGAGCATCCCAGCTATGGAGGGAAGTAAAGGAGGAAAGATCTAGAATCCCTCTTTCCTCTGGGTGAGGGCAAAGATCCAAGGAAAGGGAACAGACTTGATTTACCCTCGCATGCTAGTGCACTAACTTCCTTGACTTGAAGGATCCCCCCCCCCCAATAAAACTGGAGTTAAAATAACAGCTATCCCACAAGATTGAGAGAGTTAACAGTGCAAAATACATATAAAATTACTTTGTAAATCAGGCTCTCCCTGGTGGCACAAAAGGTTAAAGCACTGCATTATAAAGCTTTCTGAAGCCGCTGCATGAGTTAGTTCCACTGCCAGGGAGCTGACCCACGTGGCGCGACAGACCTCTCCTGACCACCCACTGCTCCCCTCAGCTGTGTACTTAGTCAATCTGCCTCTTCTGCTCCCCACTCTGTCTCTGGTGAAGCCTCTCACTCACCACACCTCCGGCCTATACCCCAGTTCTGTAAGCATAAATAAATAAATCTTTAAAAAAATTACTTTGTAAACCAACATGCTTTTTAGATGTTGGGAATACGTAGGATGTGATAATATTTTCAAACTAAGTTCTCTTATTTACATTTGGGTTTCTGGCATACCTCTCCTTTTAGAAGAGATTCACAGCAGCCTCCACATGTCACTTTTACAAGTGGTAAAGATTTTTATTACTTAATTTCTGTGCTCCTTTTGATAACATGGGGCTGGGGAGCAATAAAATGTATACTGTATTGTAAATTGAAATATGTAAATATTTCTCAAAAGTAGGAATTGTAGGTATGTGAATTGACTTATATTTATGCAATTATAAGATACTGAGGTCACCGAATATACAAGGAGGGATTTGCAAAAGTAATAAAGTTTTATCCAGTCTAAGCCAATAAGAATAAGAAGGGAAACCTAATTTTGAATTATCAAACATATCAGAAATTTTAACATATCAAAAACAACTGGTTTTGCTTTATAAAGCAAAAAAAAAATTGTCCTGCTCACCAATTACATGGTAACTCAATAAATGTTCTATATCTATTTCCTAATTAATAAATTGAGACAGTAGGTCACTGCCAAGGTTCTGTTATTCTGTTATTTTATAAAATCCCAAACTAAGAAGGCATTTATTTTTGGTAACATTCTTTTCTTCAGATGGCCAGGTAATAGTAATCGGAGGTGTCTCTGAAAATAGGAAACAGTGGCAGCATGAAGCACCAGAAACTTTATTGAGTGATCTGGCTGCAGCACAGCTCGCAACTAGCTCATTTTCTGTCAACCCAGGAGAACTTGGTATGTAGTTTATTATTATTTTTTAAATTACCAGCCCCCCTGTGGGAATTTTGTCAAAGATTTGTAAGTTCAGAAAGGGGATAGAAGTGTCTTTGACCTTGAGAGAACATTGGAAATGTTGCCTATTCCAAATACCATTAACAAGAATTCAACTTGAGAGAAGAGGAGGGTAATGTCCTTTAATGTGGCCAATTGACAACTGATGGAAAGTGAAGTAACACTAGCGGCATTGTAGATAATGAACTAGTATTGCTTAGTTCTATTGGACAGTCAGCTTACTTCTGACAGCAGTTCAATGGACTCAAATCACTATGGACAAAAAGATAGATCTTAATATAGATTTTTTCCCTCCATTTTAAAAGCAAGATTAATGTTTAGTAAGAGTGTACTTACTTGAGTGGAATGGAAACGAGCATCATGTTTTACAGTTTGAAGGAATTCGTTTCACAGTGGAGATTTTGTTATTATGTAATTGAGGGATCAGGTATACCAGGTGTAAACTGTTACAAGAAAAGCCACCATAACAGGCATTTTACCTGGACAGGTGTGAGGGTCAGGATCCAGTGTTGCAGGGGTGAGGGGTTGAGGAAGCCAAGGGATAGATACAATGTAGTTATTAATAGAGGCTAGAACAAAATGCTTACAAAGTTAAAGATCAGTACAAAACTATATACAACACTATAGGATTCTGCTAGAGTGGAACCTGGCTAAGAGCAGGTCTGCCAGTCCTCCTGGAAGCCCAGACTTCTCAATGTTTATGAAATAGTGTGAAAGTTGAGTCTTTAAGAATGTACACTCCCTGGTAGTGCCGCGGGTTAAAGCACAGCACTAAGAAGCTAACACCACTCTGCATGAGTTCGATTCCCACCTGCCCTGGAGGTGACCACATGGCGTGGCAGACCTCTTCCGACCTGCCCACTGCTCCCCTCAGCAGTGTACCTAGTCGATCTGCCTGTTCTGCTCCCCACTCTGTCGCTGGGGAAGCCTCTCACTGCCCCTGAGCCTCTGGCCTGTACCCCAGTTCTGTATGCACAAATAAATAAATCTTTTAAAAAAATGTGCAAGATTCTACTGAGACAAGTAGAAAGATAATCATCTCAGGTGGCAAGGACTTTCAGACATACAGACTTGTGTTGGAGATGGAGAATCCAGTTTGACTAAAATCTAGAAGTAGTTCCTTGGTATTATTATTGGACACTGGACAGACTGTTGTTTAAAACTTAAGGGGGGTGGGAGTGTGCACACAGGGAGAAAAGGTGGAGGGCGGGAGCGTGGGGGGAGGAAGGGGAAATTGCCTTTGAGGTTCTCTTTCTAGTACCCTCAGACCACGAACTGCAGTAGAATTGTCTGCTCTCCTTTCTTCTATTCTGGAATAAAAGCACTGTCTCCAAGAATGGGGCTGGAGGCTGCATGGGAGGTTTTGGGAAGTCAAGGCCTAGGGCCACCCCAGACCAGATAAGAGGGTGGCATCCACCCTTCCCATCACCAAGGTGGAGGCCGATGGTCTTGTCTCTTCTTGTATCTGTCCCTGTGGTTTTTGGATTGGTAGAAAAGCCTTCTTTTGACATATTATGTTAAATTAATTCCTTCATAAGCTTGCTATATTTTCACCTGGATGGTTTGATACTAGGCATAGCTGTGCAGTTTATTTAATAAGTGAGATAAGAAATAGAACTTGCCTCCAAAGATGGCATTCAAAGCAAACTGCAGATATTTTCTTTTGCTGTGGGTGCTACGATCTCCTCCCATTCCAACCTCTCTTTGCTCTTCCACTCTCAAACTGTTGCCTCTTTGCCCTCCCTGAAGTAACCGTGACACCCCAAAACTGGTCATTTTTTCATCTTCAGCTCACCCTCTACAACCCCCTGCCCGATAATCCTCCTAGAATGAATCGAGTCTGTTCTCATCTTAAGATCCTGCAAAAGATTCCCCACTTACTCTCAGGATAAAATGCAGACCTTTTGCAGTCTCTAAGCACCTTAAAGGTTAGGTGCTCCCTTCCAACCTGGCCCACCCCAACACCACAGAGGCTGGAACACCTCGATGGGCAAGTACTCCCTCTGGCGTAGAGGGCTCGCCTCCCTCCTTTTACTAAAATAAGATCCACTAATATTACTTTCTGTCACATGCTATACTGTACTGACAGCTGCTCTTCTGCCCTCACTTTTCCCCTAAACTACCAAGCAAGGCTTTGCAGAGGTGTCGGGATGTAGTTGATTCTTAATATGTGTTTTTTTGAATGAATGAGTGAAAGAGCACACTACTTCATGAATATGTTTCTGGCTAATCAATAAAGTTTTAATCAATTCTCAAGTTTGCATGTTATGTCCATGGGTTTTCTGTTGGCTGCCTTTCACAACTTCCTATTCATTTAGTTTCACCCTCAAATTCACTCACACTCAAATACTTGTCGAATAAAATTGTTCATTTGTTAAATGAAAAAGTTTCTCTTTTGTATTTGTCAATTAAATTCCAGTCATAAAAAGGATGCAGTGGTGGTATTTATTGTGAATTTTTGTGATGTCTGAAAAAAGCTGAATCTCAAACTACTCAATGCTGTGTGCTGCTCGTAGGAAGCCATGTTTGCCATGACTGAGCAAATAGCTTGGTGTGTTTTGTTACACTCTTACTTAGTATCATACAAAGATACTATAATTTTCTATCCATAAAGATAAATTGCATTTTAATTTCTTGTTTTATATTGTTTTTTTACTAGGTTACAAGCTTGGCTCTTGAACACAGTGCCTGATAGAGGCTTGGAACTTACTAGATGGCCATAGTCTCTGCGAATAAGCATATACCCATAGGACATTTTTTTGTTATTTTTTACAAGGGACTGTGATTGCTAATATTTGCGTAGTATCCAGTGGGATAGGGAAGTTACACTGTTAAAAATAATTCTCCAGCCCTCCCTGATGGCACAGAGAGTTAAAGCACAGTACTAAGAAGCTAAAGCCACTTCAGCATGAGTTTGAGCCTTGGCCCCTGAGGTGACCACATGGCGCGGCAGACTTCTCCTGACCCGCCCGCTGCTCCCCTCAGCAGAGTACTTCGTTGATCTGCCTGTTCTGCTCCCCATTGTCTCTGGTAAATCCTCTTACCACCCCTATACCTCTGGCCTGTACCCCAGTTCTGTATGCATAAATAAATAAATCTTGAAAGAAATAATTCTTACATCTGTATGGAGACTTCATAAAGACCTGCTACATCTATAAATATTAATAACTTCACTACAGGTATAATAGCTTTTGAAGATTAGTTATTATACACTAACATTCATACATCCTTCTTCAGTCATTAGCTTAAACCTCTAGCTCCTTGGCAATAAGTCGCATTGATGTCTCCAGCTCTAAATTCCATGAAAAGTTGAGGCTTTATCAAGTACATGTTTAATTTGTCCTAACTTTATAAGTTTTAAATAGTCAGACTTTATAAAATCCTTTTAAATGAATCTTACTACTAGAAGCTACACTGTAAATGAGGACAAGGATTTTTTTCTTCTTCTTTCCTGAGTATAATTAATTCAGGCCAGTAATTTTGTTAATGGTCTAACTAACTACTCCAAGGGAATCCTTGATGGGGAGGTAATCTCCTTATATAAGTTTTTTTTTTCCTTATATAAATTTTCAGATCACGTAGTTGCCTTCATAACATCATAGTTGCATATCTGAATAACAGCTGATTTACACTTCTGTAGTTAGCCATGCATTTTTTCTCCTATCCTGTTCAACGAAAGAATGAGCCTCCTAATACTTTCCTCTTAAAACGGGGAATCAAAAATGATCAGATTCCCACATCAAATGGAGCATGAAAGTTGCTTTTAATTAGCCAAACCTCATCATATGTGAGTTACGTAGGTCTGACTCATTTATTTCTATTGTGCTTTAGGAAATATGGACTATGATTTGGGATGAAATAGTGGCTAGAAATGGGTGAACATTTCATTATTGTGTGGTGAAATTTTCTGTGTATAGGTGTAATTACAATTGTCATGTAACAAGTTTACAAAAAGAGTCACCCTTGGCTATTCATTCCGCCTTGGATGAAAGCTCTTTGTTAAATTTCTAAGCCTCCTTGTTAAATAAATTTCTCATATGTGCCTAATATCAAACTGTCCAGGTGAAAATATAGGAAGGTCATGAAATTAATTTATTTGTAGTGGTAGAGAGACACTGTATGTAACCAAAACAGCACATAAATTGGGAAGTGGTAAATGTAGTTTTAAAGGAGTTCAATAATTTATATGTTGCCTGTTCTGCATATACTATGATTTTTTCCTTCTGTATTCATACCTGTGACAAGGTAATTATAAATGAGGCACTATAAGCGATTTCTAATAATAGTAAATTAGAATAAAATGAAGCAAAATTGAGTAAAGCAATAAAATAGAATTATAACACTATACTATATATAGTATACTGTAATAAAAGTTATGTGAATGTTGTCTCTCTCAAAATATATTGTGCATAATAATTTTAGACTGCCGTTGATAATGGGTAACTGAAACTTGGAAAACAAAACCACAGATAAGGGGAGACTGCTGTACTGTACGTGTCCACAGATAGGAATATATAACGCAGTCAAACTCAAAAACAGAAAGTAGAATGGTGGTTAGCAAGAGCAGGGGGAGAAGTAAAGGAAAGTTGTTCAATGAGGGTAGAATTTCAGTTATAAAAAAATTGTAGAAATCTGGTATGAATGTAGGTCATACTATCCTGTATACCTAAAAATGGTTAAGGGATAAATTCATGTTGCATGTTTTTACCACATAAAAAAATAACACAGTGATTGGAAAAATAATTCAGAATTCCTTGATTCTGTCATGAATTTATTTATTTTTATCAATTGTTTTATTATGCACTCTTTGAATTGAGATCCAAAGAAGTTTGTTTGATATAAAAAGTAAGTCAGAGATAATTGAATGTGAACAATTTTAGTTGTACATAATACAATTTGTTGCACTTATAATTTCCTTTTTATGGACATATAAGAGGGATATAAGAAAAGTGCCACAATATTAAAAATATTTGCTAGTACAAAAAGATCTTATAAAATTATATATAGGTACATACAATTTAAATATATATCTAAACATGTATTTGAAAAATATAAATTATAAAGGCTAAGAAAACATTTTGTCAGTTTATTAGTTTATAATAATAATAACAATGTTATTATTATAGTATTTGCTATTGGGTGTCTTATAACCAGTGGCATATGAATTTCCAGGGGATACTGCATTGCTATGAATAAATGAAATATTGTACTATCTTTAAGCTGAGCTTTTTCCCAAGAGAGAAAAAGAACATTATAAACAATATAAATAGCAATAAAAGCACCCTCCCCCTACCTAGCCACCAAAAGTGATAAACTTGTGTGTGTATTTGGGTTTTCTCTGCAGACTTTAATGATTACTAAGTCTAGCCATAAACTGGAGACTCACTTTACGGAAATGGTGAAAAACAACAAGAGTTGTCCGGTCATGTTGGCAAATCATGCTTTTGAATCACAAGGTTTAAAAGCATTTTCTATACAATCAAAGCCTCTGCCCCCAAAGAGAAAATATTTTGTCTCTTCATTTCTGATTCTTATTCCTCTCATTCCTTTTCTTTTCTCTTGTGGTTCCCTTCAGTATAAAGCTGAATAGATGGGATGTCCGCAATCATCCCTGTGTTCTGGTTTAATGGAAATGAAGCAAACGTTTTAGCATTGTGGTTGCAGCACTATAAGATTTTTGCTATATATCCCTCCTCAGGAGTGCAGATAGACGGTGCTTTAATTTTGCTTTGTCAATTTCTTAATAGTGACAACTCTTAAAAAATGGCTTCCTAAAGCAGATGAGAGAATGATGGAAATGGCCTCTGGCACTGAGGTGGGCGAAGAACAGTCAGAACCGAGGTTGGATGATGATGATGATGATGACGACGATGATGACACGTAAGTCAGTCATAGCCAGATGTCTAAATGAAGCAGCATATGTAGAAAATTGACATGCTACTGTGATAGTCTTACTTCTTTCCCAACTTGGACTCCTTTTTGATCTTCCTCTTGCCTGATCGCTCTATCTAGGATTTCCAACACAATCCTAAGTGGTGAAAATCCTAGTCTTATACCATATCTTAGAGGAAACATTTTGTCTTTCACCATTGAATGATGTTGTCTGTGCAGTTTTGTAAATGGCCTTTATTATGTTGAGGTGTATTCCATCTACACCCAGTTTTTTGACAGTTTTTATCAGAGATGTATGTTGAATCTTATGAAATGCCTTTTCTGCATCTATTTATATGGTTATATGATTTTTATCTTTCTGTTGATGTGGTGAATTACAGTGAATGAATTCCAGATGTTGAACCATCTTGTGGTCCTAGAATATACCCTTTTGGTCATAATTTGATGTGTTGATGTGTTGTTGAATTCACTTTGCTAAGATTTTGCTGAGGTTTTTTGCCTCTGTATTCACCAGGGATCTTGGTCTCCCTCTTGTCCAAGAGACTGGAAATATGAAGAAGCCGTGATCCAGTTTATGATCGTTATATCAGTCTGGTTAAGTTTTCTTTTTTACATTAGGTGTTGTCACTTTTGCCCCTATTGTTGCTATCTGCCTTAAATTCTGTTTAGTCTGATGCCAATATTGCTATTCTAAGTTTTAATTTTATTTTTTAGTGTTTTTGATTTTGTTTTTAATTTCATCATTTCTGTGTGGTTTCTTGTAAAATTCACCTGATATATCTGGTTGAAAATGCTCCTTGTCATGTGATCATCTCTTTTAGTTTCATAAAATTAATTATTGTTACTTACATATTTGGGCTTTACTGTGTTTAGGCTTAATATTGTGTTTTCTGGTTTTTACCATGTTTCATTTCCTTTTACCCCTTTCTTTTGTTAGTTTGAAAACTTTTTTACTCTCTTTTCTCTACATGCCTGTAGAGAATGCAGATACACGTAATAGGTCTTATGTACCACCTAAAAATTGATGCAACAAATTCAGCGTTCCTTTTTTCTCCCAAATATGGCAACACAGTTTAAATAACCACTAAAATACAGCTACTCTGACTTTATTACCTAGAGTTATAACTTTATTTAAAATCTTTTTTTTTAAAGATTTATTTATTTATTCATACAGAACTGGGGTACAGGCCAGAGTTGCAGGGGCAGTGAGAGGCTTCACCAGAGACAGAATGGGGAGCAGAACAGGCAGATAGAGGAAGTACACTGCTGAGGGGGAGCAGCGGGAGGGTCAGGAGAGGTCTGCCAGGCCATGTGGTCACCTCCGGGACAGGCGGGGATCCAACTCATGCGGAAGTGGCTTTTGATTCTTAGTGCAGTGCTTTAACCTGCTGCACCACCAAGAAGGGCCCTTAAAATCCTTTTTTATTATGGAAAGCTTTACTCTGAGTAAAAGCAGAGGTAATAGAACAAGAATCCTTCTGTAGTTATCCTCCAGCTTTGACCACAAACCAGTATTATTCTTCGCTGAACCCCACTGCCATCCCCCTCCCACACCCCCAACACCCTTTATATAATCTCTTTGGTAGGTTGGCAACATTCTAACTATTAGACATCAAATCATCAAATCTTTTTATCTAATTTTAAACGTCTTCAAAATGAAAAACGTTTGCTAATGTAGCTTATTGTTTTCTGAACATGATTTTTTCTAGCTTGAGCTTTACCTCCGGTCTCGTTTTCTTATTATCGACACATATCCGCTAGCAATTCTTTGAGCTTTGTCACTGGGTGGTAAATTTTGTATTTACACATCTCTGATAGTTTAAATTTGCTTGCAATATTCAGCAATAATTTAGCTGGACATACAATTTTAGGAGGATGATGATTTTTGTTTGATCTCTAATATTGTTGATCAGAAATATGCTATGACCTAATTGGTTTTCTTCTAGAGACAGTGTTTCTATGTTTATTTCTCCTCAGTACTTTCATACTTTCCTGTTTATCTTCGTATTCTCTTATGCTGTGATAGGTGTCAGTCTAGATTTGTCTATTTGTCTTTTTGTCTTTTGCTTTATTCCAACCCCCATGATTTCCTTTAGCTCTGGAAAGTTTTAACCTATTATTTATACAAATGTTGCTTCTTTCATATCTTCCACTTTGTCTCTCCAATTAGAAATATTTTGGAGCTTCTCTGTCTGTATACCTTCATGCTTTTTATTCTTTTATTTTCTGATAGAAGAAATCTGAACTACTCTTTTCCAATCCTGTTTGGGTATCATCAATTAAATTTTTAATTTGAATGAGTATATATTTCATGTCTAGGATTATAGTAGCTTTTTCGCTTTTATTTATATGTTCTTGTTTCATTATTGTATAATTATTTTGCATAAATTAAAATAATCAAAAATGAATGTTATGCTTTGTTTGAGCAGTTACTTTAATATAGTCTCAAAATCCTCTATAAAAGTAATTTCCTCTGGAGTTAGTTTATGGACCAACCTTAAAAAAATTTTGTGGTGGTGTTGATCTTTCTTACCATCAGATTTATTCCTGTGTTTTAGAATTCTAGTTTGTGTCTTCCTTTGTTTTGCAATGATTTTAAACATTTTTCTTTCTTCCCTTTCTTTCTCTGGGTATCTTCTACATATCGAATATGTCTTAATATGTCTTTTATTTTTCTTTATTAGATTCTCTTCCATATGTGTCAGCTGGAACCTTTGAAGATTTATACCTTATACCTCAGTACTTTGAAGATTTATACCTTATACCTCAGTAATATAAATTGCCTGTCTTGGCCCAGTCTCTGGGGGAAAAAAGACTCTTCCTGAGAAATTTATAATCATAGGCTTTGTCTTGGGTTTGGAGTTTGAGTTTTCAACACTTGCATGGTCTAAAAGCATGTATGTTGAAAAATGAACATTAAAATTAACAGTAAATTATGATAATTTTGGAATTTCTATGAGAATAAACAAAATACTCTAGAGAGCCATAATCTCAGTTCAGGCTATTTTGAATTTCTCAATAAAACACTGTTGAAGAAGAGCTCACAATTAAAAATAGAAACAGAATCCATTAAAAGAAATAGAAAACACACAAATAGCTGAACTAAACCATAAAGAACTTAAGAAATATAGCTATATTCCTGTATTAAATAATTATAAGTAATGCTATATGCTTAAAACTTCTTAATTAAAATTAAATCAAAGCATGAAAAAAAGATGTATCAAAAGTGGTAGGAAGATTTCATAATTAGCCAACTAGAACTTATGGAAGTTTAAAAAAATCAAATAAAATTAAAATTTGCTTGATAGTTTAAAAAATAGAGTAGGTTACAACTAATGAAAAATTAATAACTGGGGCCTCCCGGGTAGCATAGAGGTTAAAGACAGCACTATCAAAGCTATCGCCAGCCACTGCAGCACCAGTTCAATCCCTGGTTGATCAGGGAGTCACCCCCATGGCAAGCAGACCTTTTCTGTCTCACCCACTGCTCCTATTAGCAGTATGTTTCAGTACATCTGCTTGCTCTGCTCCCCCTTCTGTCTTGAGTGAATCCTCTCACCACCACGCCCTTCTCCTATCCGCACCTCTGACCCACGCCTCAGTTCTTGTGTGCATAAATAAATAAATCTTTCTAAAAAAAGAATTAATTACTGGAAGAGCTCAGGGGGAAAAAAAGGAAATGTGAAAGAGCGTTATCAGGCATGAAGTTTCATCACTTGTCTACAGGAGTTCTAGGAAAAGAGAACAGTGGAAAAGAAGTATTCAGTGCAGTTACATCACAGTAAATACTCTGTAGTACTAATACCATGATATCTGGGAAATAAAACATTAGTTAAGCATTGAAACAAAATTCACACCTAGACACATCCTTTTTAAATGAAGGAAAAGTGAGGACAAAGGGAAACTGTGTGTAAGCACAAACCTTTGTGACAGTGGCTTAACAAATGGGAGCTGTCATTATTGGTTCACCTAAATTTATGACTTTTAATTTAGTAGGGCCTTGGTAATATTCAGCAATCTTATTCTGCCTCAGCTTCTTTCCAAACCCAGTCTGTGAGCTTGTCCCCATCCACCTGCTCTGCCCTTTGACTGTGCTTCCTACTTCAAAAAGAGGACATGTGGTTTGTAAGTGCTGAGTTCTCCAACATCTTTATCTGCATCCAAGTCCTTATACCTGGCCCAGCCTGGCCATCCTGTTTCTTCTTCTCACAGGAAGAATGGCAGCCCTCCTTGCATAGGTGCTTTAAATCCCAGCCTTTTTTTTTTTCTTTAAGATTTATTTATGCTTACAGAACTGAGGTACAGGCCAGAGGTATGGGGGTGGGGAGGTGAGAGACTTCACCAAAGACAGAGTGGGGAGCAGAAAAGGTGAAGTACACTGCTGAGAGTAGCTGCGGGTGGGTCAGGAGAAGTCTGCCGAGCCATGTGGGTCAGCTCCCTGGCAGGGGATCCAACTCCTGCTGCAGTGGCTTCAGGGAACTTCATAATGCGATGCTTTAACTTGTTGAGCCATCAGGGAGAGCCCTAAATCCCAGCCTTTTTAGTGACTTTATTCCTATCAGTTATTCTACCTTTTATATTTTCAGTGATTCCTTACTACTTACTTTTGCTCAGCACGTAAACATGCCCAAATCTTTGCCATCTTGTAAACAACAAAATCATTGAGCTGGGTCCTTTCAGGTCCAGGGAGCCATAAACTCCTTGTTGTTACCACTTTCTTACCTCCACTACTTTCTTGGTCCACTGTGTGACCAGCACCTACTGTACAGTGCTCTGAAATATTTTTGCAAAGGGCATCTATTACCATGAGATTGCCAAATGTGATTGTCATTTCTCAGCCCTGATCTTAACTGACTGTTCCCTCTTTCTGGAATTCTCTGCTCCCTTGGTTTTCATGATGAAGAATTTCTGTGCTCTTACCAACTCTCATCAGTCTCTTTTTACTTGGGATGGTTTTCTTGGTCTCTTGATTTCTTCCCTTCTACAAATATTGGTATTGCAATTTCAATTCTTGGTTCTACTAAATTGGTGGTGGGGAAACCTCGGCTATTTTTTTTTTAAACTTTCTGAGCCTCAGCTTCTTTATTATTATTATTTGCTTTTTTAAAGATTTATTTTTCTATGCATACAGAACTAGGGTACAGGCTTGAGGTGCAGGAGGTGAGAGAATCTACCAGAGACAGTGGAGAGCAGAACAGGCAGATCCACCGAAATACACTGCTGAGGGGAGCAATGGGCAGGTCAGGAGAGGTCTGCCTGGCCATCAGCATTTTTTATATATTAAGGGTTACAATATTTACCATAAAATGTTAGATGCATGAGTATTGGATGAAATGCAATGTATGTAGACTGCACACTAAGACCATGGCTGTCATACTATAAGTCACCTATTTTATTTTTTTTCTTTTTCCTTTAGCTTTATTCTCTTTTTTCTTCTGTTTTTCTCTCCTTTTAAACATCTGTAGAGGGGTATTAATGTGTAATAAAGGTTGTTAAACACAAGTCAAACTAGAGAGAATACTGATTCTGTCAATATTTATTATTGCTCATCCTTAGGAAAACTAGACTGATATAATAAATAATTTATTATCTGGGTGAATATACAACTTTTATATTACTCAGTGGGGGTGGAATATGAGAAAGGAAACTAACTTTTGTATATATTCTTCTGTTATCATAAAGCTGTATCATATACATAAAGTATAAGTTCCAGGCATATATTCAACACTGGGATTTTATAATCCATTACCAAAAAAAAGTTGAAGTCTATTTTTCTCCTCCAAAGAGCTCACTGTCTTAATGAGGAAGTTGTATTAAATAATGTAGCACTTCTTTATTCATTCCAAAATATTTTTAGTTCTGTGTTAGTAAGCATGGCATATATAAAAAGACATCATAAGAGATAAAGGACAGATAAGGTCCCTGTAATATATGAATAAAGCATATCATATTTACTATTTATTATTTCAGAAATTTTGAAGAATCTGAAGATGAGTTGAGAAATGAAGTAGTTGAATCACTGGAGAAACTTGCTACTTTCAAAAGGGAAGGAAAAAGAGAAGAGGCTTCTGGTTCCTGTAAGGATGAAGGAAAGTTAGAAGAGAATCAACAAGTATGCAGAAATATGCAGAAGTAAATGAAGATGTGATGAATATTTCTACTCTACCTGATAACAAAATTTGTATTTTTGATGATGACCAAGATACATCAATAACCAGTCAGAATACACAAGTGTAATTATTATGATTTTTCTTAAGTACTAAGTTAGTATCTATTAGTTGTAGTATTATCTGGTTGGGTACAAATCCTAAATATTCATTTATTGTAGGGGCTTTCAAGTCATCCCAAAGATTTGTTAATTTTTCTATTTAAATATTTTAAGTGTAGAAATTAATATTTTACTATATAAAATCATAGAAATTAAGATATGTTAGAGGGAGAGTAATGTGTCCCCAAGCATGTGATTATATTGTTATATGGCAAGGGGGAATAATTAAGATTACAGATGGAATTAAGGCTGCTAAGCAGCTCACCTTAAAATGGGGAGGGTTTTTTGATTATTCAGGAGGTCCCAGTGTAATCACCAGTTTCAGAAGTCGTTAGAAGAGAGAACCCGCCTGATTTGCTGGCTTTGAAAAACAAGAAGAGTCAAAAGCCAAGGATGTAGTGGCCTCTAGAAGTTGGGGAAGAGAAGGAAATGGCCTTGCTCTGAAGCCTGCAGAAGGAACAGAGACCTGCCCACACCTTTTTAGCCTAGTGAAATCTATTTTAGATGATATGATAATAAATCTGTTTTAACTAAGCTTGTATAATTTGTTAAGATAGCAATAGAAAGCTAACACATTAAAAAAGAGAAAGCTAACACACTATACAACAATGGGATATCTGTTTGTTTTTTGTATTGTCAACCCCACTCATAGGTATCTACCCAAAAGACACAAAAACACTGATTCAAAAAGACACTTGCACTCATGTTTATTGCTGCTTTACTTATAATAGGAAAGATATGGAATCAACCAAAATGCCCAAAAGTGGATGACTGGATTAAAAAATTGTGGTACAGGCCCTCCCTGGTGGCAC